GGTTCTCAGAGTCATAGATCCAGGTTGAAAATATTACTGTAAGAAAGTAATACGTTCAAGGGATCTCATCTGATTGGGGAGTTCATATTAATTCACAAAGAATTAACACTACCAACCACCATGGATAAAACGGTTTATGGTCCTTGGGATCAACGATTCAAACTCGAAAACATTATTGTCATGGCAAAGACTCACCACAACAATAATATCTCCAAGGAATCTACTCCAGGCGGGGTTTTCGCTTCAACTTAACGTGAAAGACTCCACGCAAGTCTCCACTACACAACCACCATCCTAATCCTAGGGTTATACTCGGACTCGGGTGTAGAGCCATCTCACAAAGTAACCATAAGTAGAACAACCCAACAATGCCACATACACAAGTAACCAAGACAAGGATACCAATAAAAATAGCGAGAAGAAGATAAAAAATAACAAGCTAACAACTCAAACTAAGATAGGCTCGACTCTCTCTTGCATGGAGCAATAGTCCCCAGCAGAGTCGCCACCTGTCGCACCTCAAAAATTCCTTTCGAACATACGACCCTCGCGCGAAAGGCGCGGAAATGCGGTTCGACAGAGTCGCCACTGAACTTTATTTTTCCCGAATGAACGGGAGAGGAAAATATCAAGAAAACCTCATAAGCGCGGAAGGAACACGGTCGTCGCAACCATATTCCTGGGTTCGGGAGTCGGTTACGCGAGGGGAAGGTATTAGCACCCCTCACGTCCGTTGTACTCAACGGGAACCTCTTAATTCGAGTTGTGATGGATGTTAGCTAAACTTAATTCTTCTCTTCTCACTACTAAATTCTAAAACGGTACTATAAAGGCTAAAGACGCCAAGGGAAAGGGGGTGGTTAGGAGAATGGGGTGCTCGCCAAGGATTGGGGCCCTTGTGCCTACGTATGCTCATTCGGACGAGAATGAGAAATCAGAGCGTCGTAGTTCGACTACGGGAAAGGATGGGGGAAATGGAAGATGGAGGGGATTGTGCTCGCCAAGATCATCGCAATCTTGTTCCTACGTATCTTACATTCAAGAGTGAATGAAGAATCAGAGCGTTCGTAGTTCGTGGAATACGACCACGAAAGAAACGGGTTTGAATTGGATTTAAAGTGGGTACGGATGACGACTACTTGAAGCTTAAGAAAGACTTCGCGGACCCAAGTAGGGAGAGTGGACCAAAGACTTGGAACTCTCTCTTTTTCATCACGGAAGGAGTGATGTTTGAAAGGAAGAGGTTGAAATGATGACGATCACTTGAAGCCTAAGAAAGACTTCACAGACCCCAAGTAATCGGGAAAGCGAACCAAAGACTTGGAACACTCTCTTTTTCATCGTAAAAGAAGGTCGTTTGAATTTGAAATGGTGTATAAAAGGATGAGATTGGTCGGATGACGACTACTTGAAGCTTGAGAAAGGCTTCTCGGATTCAAGTAGTCGGGAGAGCGAACCAAAGACCTGGGACACTCTCTTTTTTCATCGTAAAAGAAGTTGTTTGAAAGGTGAGTGAAAGGATGAGTAATTGGAGATGGTTGAGTATTATCGAGTTTGTTAATATTATTTAAAGGCGTCAATTGCTCACACACGAATAAGATAACCTGCATATAAACAACGAAAAGCAAGATCAAAGACTTGAACCTACTCTTTACACCTTGAAAAGACATGAATAATTGTTAATTGATCGATAGTTTGTTATGAAAATCCACTTGACGTTGGATCAAGGGTTTGACTTATTATCGCGTGCAAAGCGTGTAATGGACATGGTTTTGAGAAATGTGACCGACTTGACTTACGCATCAAGGGTCGAGTTGTGTAATAGGTTGATGGCGAATGCGTATGAGCACTCGACTTACAAGGGTTTGAAAATGGCTCGATGATGGATCGAGAATTAGTTTGAAAATGGTTTGATCCGCTCTAGTCCCTATGGGTGCTCCTAGGAGATAAACTAATAATCAAAGAAATGCGAAACATACATCGGAATGGGGAAGGGATACATGTAAGTTACACGGGATTGCACGAAATAAAGAGGCCTCATTGTAAGGTAGCCCAAGAGAAAGCTGTGTGTGTGCATTTGTGTCCTAAACTACGCCTTGAGCAAAGTCGGGCACAACTTAAAATTAGGATACCTGCAAATGACCAAAGATCCAACAGTCCACCAATTTGGCTTTTAGGAGTTTCGATAATTTATTAGGTATTTTCAAATATGGGTGAGTGAGAATGAATAAATATGATAATAATAATATATAGTAAGATAAATATGATAATATGAATAAAATGGATAAAAACGATAAAAAATAGAAAATGAAAAGTTTAAAAAAATTGGTCTCGGGTTTGTTATCCTTCATCAATAATTTGACAGAAAAATAACCTTGGGGTATCGTCATCGACCCTTAAAAAAAAGCTAAAGGATAATAAAACAAAAAAAATCCAAAAAACTCTTACAAAACTTAATCAAAATCAAAAAAGATTATTAAACAAAAAGAAATATAAAGTGCTTAATAATAATTTAATTTTGACAAAATATGAAATTTGTTAAAATCCAACTTAAAAGAGAACAAAGGGGCCTGGTTAAAATCAAAGTGTAGAGGAGTCATGGGCTAGACTCAAAGCAAAACCACCAACCTCTCCCTTCAAATGAAAACACAGTGGGGGTATGTAAAATGAAACGGAACGTGTGTCAGTATTTCAAAATGGGCTATCAGCCCAAAAAGACCTCCAACTCCTTCGTCAGTATTCTAACACCCTAAAACAATAATAGCTCAAAAACAAATTAGAAGAATTAAACCTGAGCCGCCCACGGTAAACCAGCAAAACAACAGCGAAACGACCTCCTTAATCACATGAAACGAACGAAGTCTAAAAGCAACACAAATCTGAAAACAAATCCAGCTCAACTCGTTTCGCAACTCACACAGTTTCTCGTTCTTATTCGTTCGATCCCTTCCGCCGCCGTCTTGTAATCACGCTCAGTTTTTACTTCCTAATCTCTTCTCTATTGTCTTTCTCTGGGTTTGATTAGTCGTGGGATCCTTTATTCTGGTTTGGTTCGTTGAGATGGGTTAAAGTTTGATGAATGGGTCATTTGAAGAATGACGTGGAAAGTTTCATGGTGTTTTGAGTTTCAGTTTATGTGGAAGAAGAAGATGGTTTGGGTATTTTTCCTTTCTCGACTTGGCTTCGTTTCAGAAAAGGGTTTGAGGGTTATCGGAAATTTGGGGTTTTGAAAACGGGTTTCATTTTTGAAAGTTGAGTGAAGGTTTTTGTTGAAGAAGGTGGAAGCAGCGGTGGAAGGAATTGCATTTTGGGTGGGTGGTTCGAAGTGATGACTGAGTTTTGTTAAGTTTAAGTTTCTGGGTAAGCCAATGAAGGTGATTTGCATGAGGGTTTCGAAACGGTGGACTTGCGGTTTATGCGGCGGTGAAGATGAGTTTTGGGGCGTGTTGAGTTTTACAGGTGGTGAGGGATTTGTAGTTTTGGGGAGAACAGAAGTGGGAGGAAAGTTTTTTTTGGATTCTTCAATTTGATGAAGGAAGCGGTGGTTTTTTCAGAACAGGGTTGAAGGTTGAAAGCTGAAGGTTGGTTCGAGGTTGAACAGATTTTCTCTTGAAGGTTATTTTGAAAGAAGGTTGATTTGTTTGAGGTCGAAGGTTTCCGATTGTGTTGCGGTTCCCTCTCATGAAGAAAACGAGAGTTGTGAGGGGAGAGTCGAAGTTTGGGGGCTTGAAGAAGAAGGTTCCATCATTGGGTTCTATGGGATTTTCGCAATTTATCAAAACTCCTTCCCCCTGTTTCGAAGAGGAGCTTTGGATTATATGTGAAGATTGAAGGAGATATCCATTTAGCCTCCTAGAGTTTGTGAAGATGTCCCCCCCTTAAAGGTTTAGATTTTCCTTTAGTTTTAGAAGTACAATGTGGATTTGTCCTGATGCTCATGCTCTGTCTCTTTCATCTTGTAGGTTGTACTGCTAAGTCATTTTCAAATACAGGGTGTCTGATGTGTGCAGCAAGTGTGGGCTGTGTTATACAGGTACTGTCTGGTGTGGTGTGTATTTAAAGTTTTGTTGCTGGCCTTGTTATGGTGTTTTTGTCCTGTTTTGATATACTCCTTTTTTATGCTTTATTTTGTTCTGCAAGAAAGGACCGTTACAGCTGGTTTTGTACTGCACTCTGCAGGTTGTGGTTATGCTCTGCTACAATTTGTACAATTTGCAGATGTTGGGTGTTTTTCCTTCATAAAAATACCTAAAGAACCAGGTGGTCCCTCCTTAAGAATTTCACTGCTGAGCTGGAATTGAATCAAAACTTAAAATGTGTAAATTGTATCTTTTCTTGGTTAAGTAGGTTAACTTATGAAAGGCTTAGGGACGGACTAATGGCTGCCTGCGAATCATATGCCGCAATCGACTTCAAGAGATTATCTCGCATTTTACCGCGATTGGTTTTGTTGTTACGTATCACGGGCGTGCCAAGGGAGTATGGTAACTGTGCAGTTTTATGCTGCCCTGTTCGGAAAGTATTTTTTTAATATTATGGTCATGTTCTCAAACTTTCGTGCAGGTGCAGTTTGTTACGCACAAGGTGCCGTGAGCGGTCATTACGGTAACGTCTGGCTGAAGGTGTAGGTACTCTGATGTCTTACATTTTGAATCCTCCTCTTTGGGCCCAAATAATAATTTGTTTTATCCATGCTGCAGGAATCTTGAAATGTGGTGGAAAGGCTTGCGTGAAACGGTTTTGTGATGCTTGCTTATGATGGTAATGCTTCTTCAGCTACAGAATGATGCAGTATTATGCATCACACACATATGAGGCTCCACACGTAAATCATCGGGTTGTTCTTTGTGCAGAATGCTACGTGAAGTTTTTGAAACAGTCCAAATTGAGGGCTGTAGAATGACTTTATTCTCTTGCATGACAACGACTATCGACCGTTCGAGCTGGCACGTGCATCTACCTCTTATTTTCTTGTTGCTGGATAACAATTGTGATGGTTGATGTATGTTTTTTGGTTTGGCCGTACTGCGAAGAACGTTCTCCTTGCTGTTGCGACCAGTCGTACCTGTTGTGACAACTCTTGTTGTTTGCGAATTGAGAAACGAATATTCAGGTTCTTTTTTTTTTAATTTCATCTCCAATGAACTTTTTCATCTTCCGCCCTGTTCTGGTAGTGATTTGAATTTATACGGGTTATGCTGCAGGTACAGGTCTCGGTACTGCTTTATGATGAAACGGTGTGAACCACTGTACCGTTGATTTATCTCTTATGCTGGTATTGTCACTGCGTCTGCAGGTGCATAGAATTGATTTTTCTTTTGCGGTATGTCGCGGTTGTTGCGGAATTGTGGCCATATGGAGCCATACGAAGGAATCCTTTTGCGTTTTGCCAGCCATTTTGTGGAGTCAATTATCCTCTTTCCTTTTCATCTCTGCATAAGGAATTTACGATGTGTTGCAAACTCTCATTTGTGTAGGGCATGATTTGCAACATGATCCTTTGTAACTTGTATACATGGAGTATTAATTTGTATCATGATGTTATGAACACACTTTTTAGATTTTTGTGCAGTAGGATTTAATTATATAAAATTGTATCATGGATTGATATTGGCATATGGTTTATTTACATCAGAAATACCAGCGCCAACTTCACGGCTTGAAAAAAAAAGTAAATAGTGGGCCTCAATTGAATTGTAGCTGCTTCATTACCAATTGAACTATCCTTGATCAATGTGTAATAGAAAGTCAAGAATCAAGATGTCCTTAACTTATTCACAAATCTTCAACTTTTGCACTCTCCCATTTATGCCTTATCAAACTTTTCTTAAAATTTGGCGAAGTCTCAATTAAGTTCCAAAATTCTTGTCATCCTCAAAAAATAAAATAATTCCAACTGAGCTACTGAAAAATGAATGAATTGGGACCTTAAAACGAGATGCACCCACCACCTTCAAATTTGATATTACATAGGGAGTGAAATTGTCATGAATTATTGCCATGAACCAAAAAACCTTATTGCCTTGAAATCAAGAAATAATGCCTTCAAATATGCACTGTATTGAAAAAATCTGCAAAAATTAGCTTCAACCAAGTGGCCTGAACCATTCCTCATTCAACATTGTCCACACGTCTAACTTGACATCCTCAAGTGAAAATAACAACATATTTTTGGACATTCGGAATAAAGCAAGTGGGTAAATATACAGAATGGAGGTTGTACAAAGGTAGGACAAATTTGGGGTATGACAATCTTCAACCACTTTTAAAACATCTAATAAAGAATGACAAGTGTAGCACGCTACGAGCCTTAAGCTACTTGAGAAATGGTAATTGAGGGGCCTCCTCTCAAGGACCTAGAGTGTTTAGTGTACACCCGTTGGGTGATATACGACGCATTCGCTCTTAGGTCATAGTCTCTAGTGCGACATGAGTCACAAATCAAGTTCAAAACACTTCTTCTCTAAAAAACACAAAAACACTTCAAATCTTTTTTTATCCTTCGGGATTCTTAATCAGGAAAATCTTTTTAGATAAAAGAGTGTCGTTAACTCTTAGTTCTACCGCAAACGGTAACGCTTAAGTCTCCAATGGTCGAGCTGCATACACCAACTGCTAGAATTACTTGTTAACCCTACTCGGGCCTAAAAACTTTTGAACCGACCTGTGGTCTCCTTTTAGACCGAACTACGTTTGTTCTGATCTTTCATACCGGATGAAATTACGTAGGCATGAGACGCAATGTCTTAGCGAGCAACTTTTCCCCCTTTCTTTACCTGTAGTTAGTCGAACTACGTTAACTCTGACTTTCTCATTGCACGAGGGAGTACGTAAGCACAGAATGGCGATGCTCTGCCGAGTCACTTCTCTTTTCTTTTTCTTCTGTCCCTGAGCCTTTAGCTAGATAGTTTCAACACACCCTTTTAGGTAGACAACAATGCGTGGATCCCGTCGAGTACGACGGACGTGAGGGGTGCTAATACCTTCCCCTTGCGTAACCGACTCCCGAATCCAGACATGGTTGCGATGACCTTGTCTTTCCCTTTCTCGTTAGGTTTTTCTGATCGTTTTCTTTCCCTCTCTTTGGGATAAATAACGAAAGTGACGACTCTTCTGTTTTTTTCCCCCGGTTGTTTTCCGCAGTAGCGACAGCGCTGCCCCGTGTAACACCCCAATTCAACCCCTCGTAATAAATAATAAAATCAGAGTTTCAAAATTTCATCCAAACATAAATTGAGGTATCACATATTCATTTTCATCACTTTGCAATATAATGCACAACACAAAAATCAAAAGTCGGATATACCGATTCATATCATTAACATCATATAACCATATGAGTATTCACAAAATATACGCATCAACAAGTTATCATCAATACATAAATTCATAAAGTCATAAAATAGTATACATAAACTATCATATCCAAAATAATAACGTCGCCCAAATCCCGAGTGTTACTACTATCAGAGCAGAGCGACTCAAAAAAAAAGAGACTCGAGCTAATCCACATCATCCTCGCGGATCACCTGCACGTTACCAATATAAAGGCAACGGCGAAACAAGTAAAGGGTGAGATACTCCAAAACATATAATTAAAGGCATGATGAAATATATGAATAGTTTGGAATCATAAATGATATAGGATTAATAAGAATATATTAACACATATCCAAATCTCACACACTTTAAATCATCATTTAGTGTATAGAATCAACACTTTAATTTCGTCACATACTCGCCATAATCATATCAAAACAAGATATAAACTCCATCGCCATAAATTCATATCGTCGCTTTACCGCCATGTTATATTCGTCGCATAATCCTCGTGAATGTATCAAATCATAATCACTTTATGTTTAACATAAAAATGATCACAAAATAAAGTATCCTACAACATCACAATTCATCATAAGTCATCAAATAAAACTCAATGCCAAAAGACTCAAAATAAACATAACCGACTCCATGAGACACGACTATGTTATGCATGTGGTACCCGTCGCTTTGTCCATAATTAGGGACATTTGGCATAAAGCCCATCGTCGCTTTGGCATAAAAGCCCTCGTCGCTTGGCATAAAAGCCCTCGTCGCCAATGCAATGTATGTGACTTGACAACACGACATCACAAACACGACACAACAAAAACATCATCATCACGCATCAAGATTGGCATAAAGCCCACGTCGCCATACTTATCCACATCAAGATAAACATATCATCGCATCGCATATCATCAAGTATTCATTATAAATAAACCGTCGCAAACATCATGTTTAATCACACCACATCATTATCAAATAATTCACTTCATTCCAAACATGGAAAAATAATCAAACATCAATAATCGTCGCAAAAGTCATTCATAATAATCGGCATCAATCATAATTATCAACGTCGCAATCGGATTGTCCATACGCGACTTAAACCGACTAAAATGCAACCCGTTTAGAATTAACCGTAAATTGGCCTATTTTGGGTCACTCCGTTAAAAACTTGTAATCTCTAAAAACTAACCTCACCACGACGTTCTACACGTCAAAGTTAGCTAGCACGTCAATTTTCGTCCAATTCGGAGTAACTAGCTCCGTCGCCGAAATTACCGAAATCGAGAAATCAGAACATAATCGGGTTCCAAATTAAATTGGCTAACTTATTTCATATTTGTATTTAATTAATATAATTATTTAATATATATAATAATATAAATAGAACTTTAGCAGAAACAGAGTTTCTGCATAAGTTTTCCTGCATAACTTTTTTTTTTTTTTTATAACATTAATATAATTAGTTTTTCTTTTCTAATTTAATTATTCTTAATTAATTCAATAACAATCCAACAACAACAATAACACCTAAATCAATTTTTCTAACCTCTATCAAAATCACTCAACACAACTCATAAACCCTAAAAATCAATTTTATCCCAAATCAAAATATACCAAATCAAACTCTAACTATAGGCATTGGAAAATCAAACCCCTTACCTTATATACTTGAAATGATTCTTGATGATTCAACCAACCCAAAACCCAAGCTTTGTGTTCTTGTTCTTCTTCTCTTCTCCAAGACCCTCTAGCTCTCTCTAATGCCTCTAAGTGTGTTTTGTGAGTTATGACATAAAACAAGGTGTATTTGGTTTTGATTAGTAGCAAGACATAATTCAAATTACCAATTAGCCCCTCTTAAAATATACTACTCATAACACTAAATAATATTATTAACCTAAATAATTAAAATAACTCCAAATAATTAAGTATCAGTCCGAATAATATTTTACCGAACCGAACGGAATGAAAACCGGACCGAACAAAATAATTACCGGTCTCTCAAAACAAATACCGGACCGAATAAAATAATTACCGGTCCCTCAAAACAAATACCGGACCGAATAAAATAATTACCGGTCCCTCAAAACAAATACCGGACCGAATAAAATAATTACCGGTCCCTCAAAACAAATACCGGACCGAATAAAATAATTACCGGTCCCTCAAAACAAATACCGGACCGAATAAAATAATTACCGGTCCCTCAAAATAATTATCGGACCGAATAAAATAATTACCGGTCTGAATAATACGTCGCCAAATATATTAACAGATATATCAGTTAGTATAAATATTCTCGTCGCAAAATAAACGTCAAACGGTAACTCGAAAATATTAATATAATATTAAATAAAACGGGGTGTTACAACTCTCCCCCACTTAAAAGAATTTCGTCCTCGAAAATTTACCTGACTCGAAAAGCTCGGGATATGAATCCTGCATCTTGCTTTCCAACTCCCACGTTGCGCTTTCACCAGCTGCTCCTATCCACACAACTTTGACCAAAGAGATCTCCTTACCACGAAGGGTCTTTATCTCTCGATCTTCAATCCTCAACGGCATCGTCTCCACCGTAAGATTGTCTCGAACTTGAATATCATCCATCTCAATTACATGTGAAGGATCCGGAACATACTTCCGAAGTTGCGACACATGAAATACGTCGTGCAAGTTCGAAAGATTCGGCGGTAACGCCACTCGATAAGCCACTTTTCCCACTTTACTAGTGATTTGGTAAGGTCCAATAAAGCGAGGAGTTAACTTCTTCGATTTCAAAGTTCTTCCAACACCAGTTGTAGGAGTAACTCGTAGAAACACATGATCACCCGATTGAAATTCCAAATCTTTCCTTCTTTTATCATGGTAACTCTTTTGCCTACTTTGCGAAATTCTCATCTTTTCTCTAATCATCTTAACCGCCTCGGTTGTCTCTCTAACCAACTCCGGTCCAAGCACCACACTTTCACCCGACTCATGCCAACACAAAGGAGTTCTACACCTCCGACCATACAAAGCCTCGAAAGGTGCCATTCCAATACTCGAGTGAAAACTGTTGTTATAAGTGAACTCAATCAAAGGAATATAAGTATCCCATGAACCACCGTGTTCAAGAATACAAGCCCGCAACAAATCTTCTAAAGAT